ACAAAATCAATCAAAATATGGATAACCAAAATTGATTAAAAACATCGATCATTATATCGATAAGTTCCGAAAATATCGGTAGCAAAATCAGTACAATATCGATAAAAATTACGATAACAAAATCGAAAAAAATATCGATCACAAAACCGACAAAATATCGTTTATTAAATCGATAAGTCCCGAGAATCCCGAAAATCTCTAAAATCCCGAAATAGTTCCCAGATTGCGTCTCTGTGCCTCTATCTATATCCTTTTCTCTACAACTACCTTTTAAAATAAATCTTTCTTCCTCTATCTTCATTTTTACTTTTAACGGTATTCTCATCCTCATATTTTTCTTTATATTTATCAACAACAACCAAAGAGGAAATATCTTTGTTTTTATTTTTATGTTTATCATATTCTTCATATACATCGGAGTAGCCAGAATGAAATTTAGGGGGGGGCTCGACCCTATTAAGCTGGAATTTCAGGGTACTACTTTATATATATACAAGGAAAATTTGAATGTTAGGGGGGGGGGGGAGGGGGGGCTCGAGCACCCCCCTGCCCCTACCTGGCTACGCCCATGTTCATATACATATTCCCCTTCACCTTTGCCCTTATATAAGTAAAGTGTTTAAATTTACCTTGGTCTTCATTTTTGCCTTTATCTTTGCGCAACTTTGTTTTTGTTTTTATTTTTACCTTTGCCTTTATGCTTTTCTTTATCTATGTACGTACTCACCTTTACTTTTATTCTTTGATTGGTCTTTTTCTAAATGTTGTTTCACTTCAGAAAGTTTTTGCGTAAGAAGGCCTGTATGCAGGTCTCAAGAAAAGCAAAAACTCCATATAAAATGACGTACAAGAAATGGCTAAGAAAGTTTCTTGAGTCAAATTTCCTTAAAGCAGTACTACGGTTTTCTAAAGTTTTTTTGTGAAAAAAGAGCACAAGGCAACCCAGGTTTGCAACAGAAATATATGCCCGTTCCATTATTTCTTGAGGAAAGAGTGAGGCAACAGGCTGTGAGGTATCAAAAATGTCAAAATCACTAAAATGTCACTATCTGTCTCGCTCGCTCATGACAAACATGTCTCATCATTTTGCCGTAAAATTAAGAACCTACCAAGAGCTTGTGCGAATAAAAAACATTTGAACTGAGTAAAATAGGTTAGCAAAAATCGGGTTTATTGAGGTTATGATTTTTTTTACTCGTTTTTTTTTTTAGTATGAAAATAACAAGTATTGTACCATTTTACAATCCTGATTAAATGCGCGAACTTTTAATGGCACTTGCCAAGGCACTTTAGTACATTTTTTTTTAAAGGAGGGCCTTTCAAAGTCGACAAATTATAAAAATTTTAAATTCATAGTTTAACAAATAGTCTTAATTCTAGAAAACTTGGGGCAATTGTGTCATTATTTTTGACTTAGGTCCTATAAATGTTATTTAGGGTTAAGGTTCCAAAGTTTAAATGAAAAAAAATAATACAGATTAACCACAATAACCGAAAAATGCTTACAGTTTGACCAAGTTTCTAGGTTTTTCTTAAATGCCCATAATTTTCAAACTGCATGGGATAGATTTTTTTTCTTATTTTTCTCACCTGTCACCCCGTTTCGGCTTGACGTTGAGTTCTGGGACACCCTGTATAAACTCTTGCCTTTGTTGTTTTCTTCATGTTCATACTCACCTTCACTTACATTCTTGTATTAATCTTAATCTAAATCTTATTCTTAAACCGCATATTACCACGTTTTTTTGTTAAGTTATTACCAGGGAACGAATTTTATGGAAATTGCTTTTTTTCTGCTAAAGAGAGTATATTCAATTAAGAATGTCCACGATTTACTTTTCTCTGATTCCATATATACACATTTGATGTTGCTAGTTTTTGCCTTTTTTAAGATATTTGCCTTTTTTTGCCTTTTCTATCTTTAATTGTAAAGGTCAAGGAAATATTCCTTAATACTGATAATATGAAAGTTTTAAAAGTTCCATATTTAAATTGGGCGCCACTTGTATCAACTCACGTGGAGCGCACGTTTAAGGCTTTTCTTCGCGAAAATCGAATGAAACTGCTTTTAAAATGCATCTTGTAGTTCAATGTTACTACAACTATTGAGATTAGAGTTTTGTGAATTCAAAACTCGAAAAGAGAAAATAGTCAAAGATTCAGAGTTAACATTTTTCGTATAATGAAACTAGTTCATTGCTTTTCACTTTCTACTTGTAAATTAAACATTTCTAAAATAAATGTATTTTTTGATTATTTTTCGTTTTTTGCTTCACAACTGTTTTATGCCGCAAACTTTTTGACCTTCCCGCATAGAGACGCCATCGACTCCCCTAATTACACAGGCCAACAAAAATGGGAATCAATTTTGTAACCTAAAATGTTAAAGCTGTTTTTGGCACACTTTTTCATGCTGATTACGAATCCGTAAGTAAAAAGTTTCCTTCACGTCCAGATTTACCAGATTTACCTACGGATTCGTAATCAGCATGAAAAAGTCTATCAAAAATAGTTTTAACATTTTAGGTTACAAAATTGTTTCCCAATTTTTGGTGGCCTGTGTTACATGGTAGAAAACTGATAAGCGTTTTAGTATTTTAGTATAAGCAAAATACTAAATACTAAATACTCGATACTAAATCGAATGACAATGTTGCAACCAGTGTTGCCGTTTTAGCCCTTTGGTGGCTAAATTTGGCTACCAAATTCTTTTTTTGGCAACAAAAATTTGAAATTGCCCCTAGCCCTTTTTTTAGCCCTTTTCCAAATTTATTCATCATTGACATTCAAATTTTTTTTATGATTTTCATGAATTTAACTCTCCGCTCATAAAGCGAACGCCTTTCCTTTAAGGCAAGTAAACATATTTCTATGTATATTCCTTACGTTTCTGGGCCGTTATCTTGTCCGTTAACGATTTTACTATACTTTAAAATAAGTAAGTTGGTGGCCCTTAATATGCTTTATGTGTTACACAAAAAGTTTTTTTGTAAAATAGTAATTCTTTTCAGAGTTCATTGTTTTTCTATACCAGTAATTATAGAAAATGTTTGCGTGTATACTTACATACTTATACTAGCAGTACCCCGGTGTGCTTCTCTACACCAAATATTGAAAAACGAATGAAAAGTCCTGGAATTTTTCTATATGAAAATTTATCATTTGTTTTATTTCAAAATTTTTGATTCTTTATTTTAAATCTTATCCAACAGATTTGGATATACAACATTTTTTTGTTTTTCCATCTTGGGTATGAATAAATAAACAATTTGGAATGCCAACTCTTGAACAGGCCACGTATAGCTACCAATTCCAGTAATCTACCACAAATATTTCAAGAGATATACCAGATGAAAATTTTTGTTAGTATGGGTGGTGCCCGAATTCGGGGAAACTTAACACAAACCATCTGCATAATAGCCCGACTATGCCGTATAAATTTGGTTGAAATCTTGCACTTATTCTTTATATATAAGATGTGAGGTGCCACGCCCTCTTTTCCAATACTGCCCATTTTTATCCATGAGTATGGAATTATTTGTTATACCTCTATACCAACTTCCAGTACTCTACCACAAATATTTCAAGAGATATACAACAAAAAAAATGTTGTTAGTATGGAAGGTGCCACACCCCCTTTTACGAATTCGGGCAGACTTCACATAAACCATCTGCATGATAGCCTGAATATGCCGTATATTTGGTTGAATTCGGTGAAGCCGTTCTTAAGTTATATTGTCAAACCAAAAACGTTCACTTATTTTTATATTTTAGTTAGTATGGGTGGTGCCACGCCCCCTCTTCCGAATTCGGGAAAACTTCGCATAAACCATCTGCTTGATAAATCGAATATGCCACATAAATTTGGTTGAATTCGGTGAAGCTGTTTTCAAGTTATGAGGTCACACCAAAAACGTGCACTTATTTTTATATATAAGATGTAGATAAAAAAATTTAGCTACCATTTTTAGCCACAACGACGATTTTTAGCTCTTTTTTAGCCCTTTTTTAGCTGGAATTTAGCTACCACTAAAAATGTTTCGCGGCAACACTGGTTGCAACGCGTGTGGTGAGGCATACGACTTGTTGTGGCAAGCGGTAGTGCGGCAGATTTACGCATTGAGACTCTACTTAAAAGCGAAGAGGAGAGCGATATTTAAGAGAGTTCGCGTAAAGAGAGATCAGAAAAATATGAAACTGATAAATAAACCGCCCATTTCTCTTAGTTTAAAAGAACCACTACCAATTATTTGAAGATTTCAAAGAACTTACTGAATGTAAACAAAATATCTAATTTTAATATAATTAAGCCAAAGGAATGATGCCTATTTGTTAAAAAAATACGGACAAAAATAATAAACAATTAAACAGGTAAATGAGAAACAATAAGTTGTATGTAGTCGGCTACTTCAGCTAGAATACGAATGCGAGATACAAATGAAAAAGAAGCAAAATAGCTCACAGATACTTCTATGCTCACAGAGAGCACCGCTCGGCAGCCTGTGTGCTACATTATTTCGTTATTACACGTACACCGCTGGGTCGATATTACAGGGTGCAGTGAGTGTATTAGCCGCTTAACTTAAAAAGTTAGATCTCTTATGATTAGACTGCGGACTCTTATGCAAAATACGGAGCGTAGAAATATGTACTACTGAACTATAAACAAAATGTATGGAAATTTACATAACTATAAACAAAGTGTATAAATATCTATACATTTTGTTTATAGTTCAGTGGTACATATTTTTAGGCTTCGTTTCCTGCATAAAAATTCGCAGTCTAATCATAAGAGATCTCACTTTCTAAGTTTACTTTTTTAATAAAAACGAACGATTTACACTTTCATTTCATTCCAACTCAGCCGAGCCAGCTTCAAGCGTCGAGTATCGCGCTTAAACTTCTTTTGGTTGAACTGCTCAAATGCAGATACTTTATGTACACGGCACCCTGTTTATCGACTATCTGGCGGATACGAATGTTGCTCTCAGGCATGACTGGTCTGCGATTGCTGAGCTCAGTCATTGAGTAAATCGCGATGAGGTTGCATCGTTAGGACACTACGCGTTTTCCTCTTAAAACCATACGGTAGATTTTGTTGTATACACTTGTACAACACCAAAGCAGCAGCAGTAGCAGCAACAACAAAAATCATCAAATCACCAGTTCCAACAACAACAAGAGGAATTATTTTTAACAAAAAGTAGAAAAAAACACGCAAATGCAAAATTAATTGCAAAGCAGCAAAAAGGTGAATGGTGATTGAAAATAAGAAATTTGTAACGAATCGAATACCAACAAATGTACGGCTACTTCGCGCGCCTCTCGGTAGGCACCCCCCGTCCGCCCAGCGCGCGTATCTGTTGTGTAAGTAAATTGTGTATGCATGTGTGTAGGTCCGTGCATGGGTGTGTGTGATTGAGTGTGGAAATGTACAAAGGTATCTAGCTGCAGGGCGATGGCGACGGCGGCGGGTAAAATGTGCAACGCGTACGACATAACCGAGGCGTTCGTTGTTTGCGAATATAGGGTGTAGGCGACCCGGCATGGTACGGCGCGACGCGGCGAGACAGCGCAAATTCGTTGAAATATTCATGTAAACATTCATACGTCCATACATACATACATATGTATGTACTTATTTTCGTGCGAAAAAATGCAGTGTCGGTGCATTGCAGTTCGGCGCTAGAGTGGCATAAGCGTAAACTGAGACGTCGCGGCGCGGTGCGGTGCGGTGAAACGCGAGGCGCGCGGTGCGACGTATCGATATTGCTTGCCCCTTTGAAAGTGCAATGATAAAATAAAAAATTTAATAAATAAATAAAAATTAATTTTAACACAAAATGTGTGCAGCAAAGTGGCAACCACAACAACAGTGTTGCAAATTTCAGCACGCCAATTACAAATAACAAAAATTATAATTAAATACAAAGTTGAAAATAGCCAATTGCGAGATTTCGCATATATTTTTTGCATTACATATATGTACATATGTATGTATACAGCATTTGCCTGTCCTAAGTTCTCTTTCTATCTCTATGCCATGAATGCTAATATTATCGCGAAAGCGACAAAATCGTTGCCTTATATGCATTAAATATAAAAATATTGTTTTTAGCAAAAAAAGTTTTTACTTGTGTTTTTGCAAAAAGTGGGCAAATATGTCTGTTGAAACTCATCATAAAAATATTTTATGGTTAATCAATACAATTGTGAAAAATAAAATGATGTATTTATCTCCCATTTAGTGATTACATAGATATGATATAAAATTTTCTAAATCAAAAAAGCAAAAAAAAAATTCATAAAGTAAATCATTAAAACAAGTAATTGAAAATATTATAGGTGGAGAAATTTTAGCTGATATTAAATGTACATATCAGCTATGTTTGTGAAGAAAATAACAATTTATGCATAAACCAGATAAAATACTGCAAAATAATACCGGATTTTACATATAAACAACCAAAATACAACAAAACCGCAGTTCAATTTACACATGGAGGTTTTTCGATAATAATACTTGAAAAACAGTCCATATAGAAATTCTACATCTGCGCAAGCTGTGAGTAACAAATTTCATCTTATCTATAGATATGTATATACATATGTATGTATATATTACATAGCCAATTGAAATAGCCTATCTATGTACAGACATAAATATGTAATACATATATTATTTTCTGCTAATTCAGTGGAGACTAAAATGTCTAACAAAAATTAAAGCATTTTTAATCTTTTAAGGGCTCTTAAAAATTTTATATCTGTATTAAAAATAAATAATTTTTGAATGTTTTTACAGTCATTCATAATTTTGCTTTCTAACAGTTTTCAAAATGTTTTCCTTCATAAATATTTTTCGTTAATTTTTATTTGAAATATGAGCTATAAAAAAAACATATAAATATATCTTGCAAACTTTGTACAAAATTCACAAAAATTAATCATACTTCAAAAAGTGTTCATCAAGATTACAAACTTTTTAATCAGAAATTTTATAAAATTTTCCGGTATGCACTTTCAATTTCAGATGCAATTTTCAAGTAGCTAAAAAGTAGTGCTGATTTTTTATAAATTTTTTTTTTGTCGAGGCTGTAGCGCATTTTCTTTCATATAAAAACAGATTTGGTTCATGCGAATCAATCAATACCAACAAAGTAGTTATTTAACGAGATTTTTCTTTAATTTGCTTAAAAAATTAAGTTATTTCTAAGCAACGTGTACAAAAATAACATTACATTAAAAGTCGTTAACTATTCTGCTTTTATTCGAAATGTTTTTCTGGATCCTTCATTTTCCTATACAGAAATATGCAGGTATTGTTTAGACAATAAATATATTTATGAAAGCAAGCTGAGTGAAAAATGAGTTCTGATACTTGACCTTTATATTTGAGACCATTTAAGTCTAAATTAAATATGATTATTGTTTGGTGAAAAATTAAAAAAAAAATGCTTCATTGAATTTTCAATTCACAAATTTTCTTAAACAATTTCAATGAAAGCAAAAATTCATGTTAATGTATCTATGCTTATCATTAAATTTTATACAGGTCTAATGATATAAACATGTACATATATATGTATGTACATACATATACATATTTCGATTTAATAAATATGTTTACTATTTTTACAAAAAAAAAATTATAAGTTCATATCGATGGCTGAGTGGAAGATCGACCTAACTCGGCAGCCAGTTCGAAAACGCTCCATCTCAAAAATTTTTTCTACAACGCCCTATTTCCGAATTTGGTTGAAGAACGCGAATATCTCAGCTGCCGATTCAAAAACGACCTATCTCAGCACATTTTCAATGTATTTTCGTTTGAGGTAGAGCGTTTTTGAACCGAGTTCTGAGATAGGGCGTTCTTAAAAAAAAAATTCTGAGATAGGGTGTATTTCAATAAAATTCTGAAATAAGGCGTTCTTTAATCAAATTCTGAAGTAGGGCGTTCTTGAAAAGTTTCTTGAGATACGGCGTTTTCGAATTGGCTGTCGAGATAGATCAATGTTCCACTCAGCCATCGATATCGTCACCTGAAATGCAAAAAAGACGTAACTTATAAAAAATCAAAATTCACTTTTTGATTGATATGATGGATTTCATAGAATTACAACTCCCCGTGTTTTTTTGTTTACTTCCAGCACTCGGAAACGTTTCAATCTGCTCCGTCATTGCCTTTAATAAAAAATATCAGCTTAATGCTTAGGCAATGGAGAAACCCAATTCACATTATAAATAATACGAGCAAATTAAAAGCAAAATAATGAAACAAAAATTTATCAAGTTGATGTTAAATAAATCGTGAAAATGGTGAAAATATAAAAAAAAAAGTTTCGAAAAAATTCCAGCGAGAGTATCAAAGAAAATGTTGAGCTGCATACAAATTCAATAACCGGTAAGATTATATATTTTGATAACAAAAATACATACTTATACACAGATAATAACTATGTAAATACATTGGGGTGGTAAAAAAAAGTAAAGTCGGAATTTTAAAGCTCTCACCCCCTAGGATTATCCTATACCTATTTTTATTTTTTTTTAAATAAAACATATTTAGAGGTCGCTCAAAGCGCTCAAATTTTTTCATGTATATTATGTGGAAAAACCCCTAAAAATCAATGTTTTTTATCGGAAATCTCTGTTTCTCCTTCTGGAGTATTCCAATAATAATACCGTATTGTTTATTTAACCACTTTTTGAAATTTCATTAATACTTATGCCCTAAGGTCTCTTTTTCCAATTCATAATCGTAACTACACTTTTTTCTTATTAAAATTGTACCCAAAAGCGTTAAGCGACTATTCAAATAGTCAACAATTTTACTAAGCTAATTACCAGACTGGCGAAGAGTCATAAGATTATGAATTCCTGCGGATACTTCATTCCTTGCGAGGATATCAGCCACTTTAATTTCGTCGATTCCAATGTGGCCTGTACTCAAATGAGGTAGACCCGGTTCATCAATGCGATAGGTATTAAAACACACAGTCCCACACCAGTTTTGGGGTGACCTCGTGTGTTTTCAAGACAGGTCGCCCACATGGTCATGAAACTCAGCTTAAAAGAGAGAATATGAGCCATATAAATTCTATAACGTACATACTCACCGGCTTTGCTATAATTTAAAGTAAGATTCACATAGATCTTTCATAGTGGAAGGAGGTATAACAACTGACCATAGTACATACATTACAAATAAGAATAAGGAATATCAAAATTATTGAATAAATCCAGAAGAAAACATCCAAAAGAATTAAACTTGGTACTGAATAAATATGTGGGTAAGCGAAGTACTTAGTTCATTCTGAAAAGGATATATAATTTTTAGCAAAGTAGCCGTACAAAATATTTTTCAGACTTCTAAACCAGTTTTAAGCCGAAATACCGCTTTTTTCGGCCTCTGAACCGAGCCACGAACTGAACTGTTTTTAATTTTGAAATGCCAGCTCGGTTCAAAATGAAAATTCACTTAAGCATTTATGAAGTTTTGTAATACACAACCCATATGGTGAAATTGCAAACATTTTAATAGTTTTATCAGTTTGAACGCAGTTTAGTCCCCCAGTTTTCGAGATATTCGACAGAAATTTGGTAAGCGGGTGTATTTGTTGTAACTGGAAAAAGTTGGACCACTACAACATATAGCTTCCATACAACTGATTGATCAGATATATATGATTTTGTTATAACACCTCCATTTTTTCAGCTATGAACCAACATGAAAATTAAAACAAGTAAAGAAGTATAAGTTCAGGCGAAACCGAATTTTATATACCCGGCGCAGGTAGCAACTATTGTCGTTCCAACTTTCTTAAACTACCTAAAAGTCTATTATTGTTAAGAGATTGTTGTAAGTATTAACTTGGAGTGAATTAGCGTCCTCAATTATTGAAATATCGGAGTATTCGTATATCCGAAAATTACCGTTATACGGGAAACCGATGCAATTTTAATCCGATTTGAATAATTTTCAACGAATTGCTTTTTCGTACCAAGGTTATTAAATACACCAAGTTTGGTAAAAATTGATAAATCGGTTACCGAGATACACTTTGTGACGGCGGCACGTCTAAAATCCAAAAATTTATAATAATCTATTTTTTGCTCAGTGGACATTGCAGTAATCGATTTTGAGTCAATTAGCTTCGTAGTTACTGATTTATCGCAGTTTTCGTATTTCTGTAAATTGCCGTTATATGGGAGGTGGGAGTGGCTACTGCCCAATTTCAATGATTTTCAGCAAATTTTTTAGCTGGATCCTAAGCAAGGCTCGTACCGAGTTTGGTAAGGATTTGTAAAGCGGCTACTAAGATAAAGTATTTCATCATAAGTGGGCGGGGTCACGCCCATTTTCCAAAAAATTTATAACAATGATATTTTGTACCAAAATTCTTCTTCAAATAGATACTATTTTTCAATAATTTGGATAAAATATTTACTGAAATATCATAGTTTTTGCATTTTTCGAAAATACCGTTATATGAGAATGGGGCGTGGTTACAGTCCGATTTCGCCCATTTTCAATAGCAACCTACCTTGGATAAAGGGCAACCTACGGACGGACGGACGAACGGACGGACAGACAGACATGGCTTAATTGACTTCTCTTTTCATTCTGATCATTTATGTATACATTGTCTATATCTCGCAGAGCTGTAAAATGATTGAATCAATAGGATCTGCATTCACTCGACATTCTTTTCAAAATTATGATTGTTTGTTTGTATAAAAAAAGCCTCATTCCTGAGTGGCTTAAAATGTTTGAAAACAAATAAACTGTGTTGTGTTTTTGAATGGTAGATTGACATTCAGTATGGAATGTGAATGTAACAGAAGCATTCGCACACACAAATGATTGTATATTTAAAATGAATGCACACGTTTTTACCATTCAGTACTAATACTTTTTTCCCAGGGTTGAAATATTTTATACTTTAAAGTTTAAACATATCTGGAATTGAAAAAAAAACATATATGTATACGTATGTATGTATTTCAACGCGTATGTATAGACGTTTTCTGACATTAACCCATGGCTAATGACTGGTGCGAAATCAGTTCAAACAAACATCGCAACCGTCGAGCACAAAGGACATATCTTGATACATACATTTACATATATTACATTCGAAACTAGTGAACTGTATATAGAAATATAAAACAGTGTCAATGGAATTGAGTTTTTAAAACTCTTGCTTGAAAAAACTTAAGAATTTCATTACCGGCATCTGCCCCTTCGTATTATAGACTTTTAGAACTATAAAAGGTCTATTCTGCACGTAACCGAAGATTTTTTAACCGGAAAATTTTATTACCAAAAAATGTTACCTGTTCATGTCACCGCGATTCTAGGAACGTTGGTAATGCTATATATTCAGCAATTCATCCATGAAGAATTGTGGAAATTCTGGCATTGCATATTTCACGGGGCGGGGCAATATTTTGTTACCAGCTTATGAGATGGTAACAAAATTTACCGGTTACAAGAGTACACCAATTGCGAAAAGGGGTTAAAAATTGATTGTAGACATTTTTTCGCAGAATATACGTATATATAAATTTAATTTGTATGATTTTTTTTCTATTAATTTTTTTCTTCAGTTATCAAATTTGAAAACTTTCAAAACGAAATTTTATAGGGTTCTTGTTTTCTTTAAAGAGGGTTTGAGGAGTTACATTGTAAAATTTTTTTTATTAATTATTAATTAAAAGGTGTACTATTTAAACATATTTACTACGCACTTCTGCAGTAGGGTACTATAACTTTTCTCACGTAACGGATATTTGGAACAACCAAAATCGAAATAGATATATACTACATTTATGTACATATGTATGTATATACCGTAAATGCCCAGAATAAAAAGAGTTGATTAGTCCATCTCCGTCTGTCTGTCTGTCCGTTTGTTTGTGTACACGATAACTCTAGGAAAAGTTGAGATATCGGAAGAAAATTCGGTACGCGGGTTTCCCTTTATGCAGGGCAGAAGCGTATTGAAAATACAAAAATTAAACCATAACCTGGTCCCTCCCATAAAACGGTAATTTCGAAAAATTCAAAAAATTCAATATTTCCTTAATTACAGAAAACAAATTGCTAAAAAAGTCACATGTTTATTATTATACATTTTTGAAAAATGGGACATATTTCTAACTTTTGAAATCAATTTGCTCAAAACATACATTTAGAATAATGTTTTAAGAAATAATTACACCCGAGCGCATTTGTGCACATGGGTATTATAACTTTGTTCGCATAGCGGTTGTTTGTTGTCTAGGCCTTCAGGTTAATAAAGATGTAGAAAACGATTTTTGCTTGTGTGGGGTCCCGTTTGATTGAAAAATTGGAAGGAACTGATTTTTTCAAATTGCAACACCTAATAAATAAATTATTTCTAAAATAGGTTACAGCAGACAATGTTTAATCATTTTTTATTAATATACCGACACCTGATTGGAAGATCAACCTATCTCGGCAGCCAATTCAAAAACGCCCTTACTCAGAAAACTTTTTATGAAAGTCCTACTTCAGAATTTGGTTGAAGAACGCCCTATCTCAAATGAAAATATATTGAAAATTTGCCGAGGTCGGGCGTTTTTGAACCGCATTCTGAGATAGGGCGTTCTTCAACAAAATTCCGAAATAGGGTGTTCTAGAACGGTTTTTTGAGATAGGGAGTTTTCGAACTGGCTGCCGAGATAGGTCGATCTTCCACTTAGGTGTCGATATGTAGTTTTGATGTTAACAAACAAACCAAAACTTGGGTTAAAAAGCGTGCTCAATGAAATGGGTATAAATTCTTAAATATTGCACTTTCGGAAAAGGATGTTAATGAAAATAGGGACCAACGAATTTTGTTAAATATTTTTTTTGTTGGAAATGTTGATAATTTGTGGCTTATTGTAAATGAAAAAACCTCCACAAACCAACAAATTCGATTTTCGAATCTTTATTAACTGCTTGACTCAATAGCGACGAAAAAAAGTACGAAGAAATTTGTATCAAAAATTTTTATAATTAAATAATGAAATGTATATGTATGTCTAAATTTAGAACCAGAAGCTCTTAAATTTGTTAGTTTATATTAACTTATATATGTATGTACTAATTTATGCATTATGCATTATTAATGGTGTATTGGTAACACTTATTTGGAAAGCTGACAATTTTCTAAACAGAGATGTTAAAATCATTAATAATTTATATTTTTCATAATGACATTCTAACGACACGTTCACTAAAAAATATTTCTCCAATTAATATTTTTTATTCTTATAAATCCTTGTACAAATTTAAGTGAAAAAAACTGATGATAACGCTCTATTAACTATTTTTCGTGTTGAAATTTTGAAGTCTTTTTAAAAAAATGCAACCTGGCGTATTTTTCAGAG